AGGTTTAACACAGACCAGGACCCAGGAATCAGGGTTACCACAGCTACCACTACGATTTCTTCTAGCTGACTAAGGTTGTCCATGACATAAGAGAAACATCGAGGTCAGATTATGGGTGGTGCTAAGCCTACTATGGATGGCCTGTCAGTGCGAATATTACGGTCACCATTGACAGAAGGGCGAATGACACAGATAAGGTTAGGGTTGATGTTGCCTGGACTCAGGAGTCAGTTAACGATCCTCGTCATTGTGTCGACATCTAGCATGTGTATATACAGTAGACCCACAATGTACATACACGCATATGGGGTCCGACATGATCATATACTACGGCGAAATAGCGGGTGCCATATAAAAATGTTGAGGCAAACAAACAAATGGCGGTATCATCCCCAAAATCTAAGGGCCATCATTTGGCAACGCTAGGGCGGAAACAGCAATGAACGCGGTTCTTAACGGATATCGTTTTGTGTATTTCAATATTAGCATGAATATGACGGCTACCGTTGAAGTAATTGTTTGGGCAGTATTTAGCTTACTTGTACTGATATGCACTGTAAATAGTATTGGGGATGCCATAACTATTGTCTTCCGGGACTTGAATGCTCAGTTTAGGGATCCCACAGCTACATCTGGATTAATTAGCCTTTTGATGAGGCCAATGGTCGGTAGAGTACGAATGTTACCCATGGGAAGAACTTACGCGTAATATGAAGCTTAGCTTGCGAGTAAGGTCCAACTTGGAGTCAGATCCAAGAATATGGTTGCCAAGGGGACTGCCATACCCTCTGATGTCTGTCATTATATTAGCCTTCAGGTCGAGATGGGAGTCAATATGGGGATGTATAGCGGGGTTACTAGTCGACATAACAGTTTAATCATACGAACTAGTAACTAAGACGTGAAAAAATAAGGCAGTTTTTTGGGCAAGCATGAAACAGAAGACTACTGTCAACATTGGTTCCAATGTAAGCTCTAATGGCAGGGTTCGTCTTGGGGATACTGTTGTTTAGGAATAGGAGTCAGTCAAGGCTCACGGTCAGTCATTGATTTGAGATTGCAGTGAAGGCTACTTCGGGAGTTAATATTCGGGCCCATATTGAGCTTCAGATATTCAGACAGGAATGACTTTCATCGTTGACAAATCATCTCTCGAAGTATCTGCGTGAAGGGTCGCAAGACTTGATAATGAAGGCAGCTGCCGATATGCACATGCTGTCCCCTCGGATCTTCGAAACCTAACGTTAAACCTGGGTCATACACCAGAAACATAAAATGTAGGAGAATCGGTGGGGCTATTGCGGCACCTCACGGTAGTTCTTGGGGAGGTTTTACATATATATATATATATACCTATGTATGTATGTATGTATGTATGTATGTTTGTATACAT